GAACATGTCACGGCGCTTCGTGCTTGGTGGTTTGATAGCCTGGTCCGATGAAAACCCGGCGTTTTTTCCGTCCCGGCTTTGTATGGATGCGAGGTCAATGGTGTTAACGACTGTACGGCATGCGCGGCTGTAAGCACACACACCCCACCGCCTTTTTTTTTTGTACATGTTCTCCCTTCCCCTCGACAACCAACCAATGCCGAGCAGCGACCATAACACGGAGATATTGCGGCGAATGGTGCTGGAGGACGGGGGGGTACTCAAGCCTCCGGCCAACGCTTTGCCGTGCCTCAAGTCGCTGTTCGTCGACCCTCAGAGGGAGGAGGACGCCCTCCTGTCCATCTGGAACGAGTGCGAGGCGCCTGGGCATGGGGTCGTGGTGAGTGAGGGACTTCCAAAACCTCCTATCTCTTCCGTATATGTACCTGGCTCTCGCTTTGTCTCTGTACAACCGCCGTCGCAAGTATGGCAAGGTGTGGTCGAGTGGAGTGGGTCTGGAGGCACATGCCGTGTGCTTGGGTAGCACGCTTTTTCCGTATGGTCGAGCGGTTGTACAACTTTAGACGGAGCTATAATAAGGTGGACGTGAGATGTCGTTTTGTTTGATCTTGGAGACGCAGTAGATTCCCTTGTTAGAGCAGCGGGCGTACACCGGCAGAGGGACGAGAACGCCCTTCTCTCTACCTTGAACGAGTGCGAAGCGTCTGGGCATGGGGTCGTGGCGAGTGAGGCGCGACTATCTGTCTCTTTCTGCGTCTCTGCCCCCCAGTTGCGTCGCTCTGTGTTTATCTGAACAGCCGCCATCACAAGTAAAGGGTATTAAGCTCGACAGCAATAGCAAGCTGCAGAGAGGAAAGGCGGGCAGCCGCAGAGAGAAGAATAACTGACGTCCTCCCCATTTTTTCGAGGAAAAATTGAGGCAAAGGCGCATGTTTGTTTATATACGGAGTATTGTACACGCGTGCCTACGAGGAGAAAAGCCCTGCCCGTTAACCGTTCGCGGAAGGCAGTCACCGTCTTCGCGGGGATGTACGCGCTCCACTCTTATATCGATGGGTCCAAGGCAAATAATAACGTAATTTTCCCTCGCCTCCGTCTCCCCGACTGCCTCTCCAAGAAATGCCACGCATCCCCTCGTGGCTGAGCACCTCACGGAGCTTTTTAAGCGCTCGCGTTGCTGTAAGCGAGCCTGGTTGACGAAGCTCGAAAATCTCCCCGCCCTCGCCCCCGGCTCTCTCGGAGATGCCATCCATCCATGCCTACGGTCCAAATTCTACGCGGTGTGTATGATCTGCGTACCCTCACCCCCGATGGGTCCTCCGGGAACAATGCTCCGTCCTCTCGAGGACGCGTGGTCAATAGTCTAACCGCTAAGGCATGCAAAACATAAGAGAACCCCCTCCTATATCCCGTTGCGTTGTACCCTTTCAATCAAGGCGGTGTTTAACCTGTTCGGGTCGGCGTGGAGCCAGGGGCGGCGGACTTACGCGCCGGTCCGCACCTCCAGCGGGGCCCTGAGCGGGGTCCCCGTGAATGGGGAACCTGCGGGGCAGAACGGGGGGGAGGGGGGCGTGGGGGTGGGGGGAGGGGTCAGGCCCAGCGACTGCCACCGGCTCTTGCGCGACCACAGGGCGGAGGTGAAGGAGGCGGGCGTTGTCGGGGACGACTCGAGGTGGGTGGGAGGATGTGTTTCTGTCGTTGGTGCTACTGCTGACTCTTGCCACGGTAGGGGCGTGCACTTGCTTAGGGGGAGATCTTACGCTTTAGGGACAAGCAAGTGTGTATTCCTGTTTTGGTGGTCTTACGGCGAAATCAGACGCGGGCAACAGGTTTACGTAGAGTTAGTGAGTCTTTCTTCCTACCCAAAAGCGTACCAGGGGGTGAACCCTCGACCGTAGCATCCCTCTGCTGCTGCTGCTGCTGCTGTCGGTGTCCTGTAGTGTTGATGTTGCGGTCGGTTTGCTCATGTCACTGTTGTTGTTGTTGTTGTTGTCATCGAGCCCTCACGGAATCGTGTTCGTTTTGCGGGCTGCTCCCCCCCCTTTCTGTCCCTTGCCTTGTAGCAGTTTTTCTGTCGGTATATGCCGGAGAGAGCTGGGGGTTGACTGACCATCCACCCATGCACGGTTTCCGATACTCCTCGTTTTTTTTTTATTTGTACCGTGAGTCGTGCCTTGGTGTACTTTCGGCTCGGCTATCGTTCCAGTGTGGAGGCTTCGCGGGAAAAAGTAAGAGCAGCAACAGCAACCAACTAGCAACGGCGGCACGCACTTTCACCAGCGACAAACTACAACAGCAGCAACCGTACAGTGGCACCCACAACGAAACGAGGAACATGGCAACGACAAACGACGACCACGACGATGACGAAAACGACGGCAACAGGACCAACACCAACACCACCAACAAACCCAACAATACTACAGTATCACGATAACCTTGACCTCAGCATCAACAACCACCACGATAACCTTGGCATGACAGGTACGCGGTCTACTTCCACTTCGGCGACCGACTGGGGGTCGGCGGATTGGACGACGAGCACCCCCTCGTCTTGTCCAAGGGGAAGTGTGAGGTGGCGGCCATCAGCAAGGTCCTCACATTCGACACTGTGGCCGGGACGGTGAGAGAGACATACCGGAAGAAAATAGTAAGGCTTCACTCTCGTATTCATGGACACTCGTCGGCAAAATGAACGCTCTGAAATCGATGAACTTTTAATTTGCTATGAAGCTTTTTGCGCATGAAGAAGACTTGTGTAACACGCACCGAGAAGGAGTTAAGACGAGTGCAGGGACGAACTGCTTTAGTGGGGTGCGTCGGTAAAGCCTGCATGGGCGCTTGATTCTCTTGTTTCCTCTCGCGCGGTGTCATTGAATGCGTAGCGTTGCTACCATAGAGGAAATACAAGGGTTGGCCCAAGCAAGCCAATGACGTTGCTGCTCTCTTTGGTGTGCTGTTTTGTTTTCATAGTCCTTCTTACGTACCGTCGCTCGCAAAATGCATCTACATGGCGTCATCCTAAGTGTGTCCTTTACCTTCGGTCGCAGCTTCTCTTTAGTTTTTTCCGCCCAGTGGTTGAATGTCGAGGCGCAGCCATAACGTTTAATGCTTATTTTTAGGGTATATGGTCGAGCATCGGCATGGGAGGACGTGCCAACCGGAGAATAAATACACCGTTTTTTGTTGTTGTCGTTGTTGTTTTTCATCAGTATGTCTTTCAACTCTTTTTTTCTGTGCAATTCCTGTCCCTACCTTGACATGCACAGGAGGGGAAGTGGGCGAGCATTGGCTTAGTCGACATGTTCAACGCCGGCGGCGCCATTGTCTCGGAGAAGCTGTCCTATCAAGGAGGCAGAGCTCAGGCGGACATGACGGTGGGTGACACCGAGCATCTTTGTCGCACGAGTAGCACTGGGGATGCGACGTGTATGTACAGCAGTATCGACGAGGGGCAGTGAGATGTGATGTTCCGACATACCTTACCGCGGTGTAGCTCAAAGGTAGCGGGCGGTGCCTGGCCTAGGTGCTCCCTCCGACCTAACCCAACGCCTTGTCCCAATCCTTGCCTAGGTGAAGGGCCCTAGCCTTGTGCTCTCTCCGAGCTATCTCAACCCCATGTCCCAATCCTTGCCCAGGTGAAGGGCGGCGGGCGGTTCTTCGCCTTGTGTACCCTCTGAGCTACCACAACCCCCCATGTCCCAATCCTTGCCCAGGTGAAGGGCAGCGGGCGGTTCCTAGCCCCGTGCTCCCTCCGACCTAAGTTAACACAACCCCATGCCCCAATCCTTGCCTAGGTGCAGCGTAGCGGGCGTTTCCTAGCCTTCTGCTCCCTCCGACCTAAGTTAACACAACCCCATGTCCCGATCCGTGTCCAGGTGAAGGGCAGCGGGCGGTTCTTAGCCCTGTGCTCCCTCCGACCAGCGGCCGTCCTCTTCGACGGAAAACCCGTGCCGTTTTCCCACAGCCGGGACCGCGAGGGAGTCCCGTCCCTAGAGCTTGCGCTTCCCACGGGGTACACGGGAAAGCCCAGGTCGCTGGTGGTGCAGTGGGACAAGGATTCGCGGCTTGCCGCCGGTAGCGGCGTGAGTGGATCCGGTCGACCACACGGTAGAGTCCCGTGATTGAAGTTGGCAGGGTTCTCTGATTGGGCGATTGATCCTGCCGACCAAACAGTACAGTCCTGTGATTGAAGTTTGGCAGAGTCCTCTGATTGGGTAAGTTGGTTGGCGAAATTATTTGAACTGATTGGGTACGGTTCAGACAGGAGGAGAGGCGTGGGCTTTATTTAACATTGAGCTGGTGATTTAGTTTGCCATGAGTATTCGTGACAACGTTGTGCACATTGGGCGTCTGTTGGGTTTTACTGGGGGAAGGGGATGGTTACAACAGTCTCCCCATAGTGTTCTAGGAGAAAGGTTTGCTGGCGGGAAGTCGGCAGGGGACGTCGCGACGGGGATTGTTCCGACAGCGTGTGTGTGCTCACTCACAACTAATTGCTGGGATGTTTCGGATTCGAACGGCTTGATTTCGGTCATAGTTGTGTTTGATGAGGACCCGGTGGCATCTTTTGTAATCCGTCCTCTCGACCGAAGCTGTGGTACGTAAAAATCCTGCGTACGCTGTAGCAGTAATTTTTCTGAGATGAAGCGCTTTTGGTCCTGGGGAAATAGTGTGTGGTCAAGCCTGCCAAATCGAACCCCTTTTAACCGGCACCAGTGATTGAAAATCAGTCACTACTGCTGCTGTTTTTTCATAGGTTTGTTGCCGCTGCCAAACCTTGTCTCTCGAGGTCAAGTTATTTCGTTTCGTGGGACGGAGGTGCCCTCCCCCTTCCCCCCCGGGTCCCCGGGAAATGGGGCCCCGTCAATTTGTCCCCCTTACGGCTGCCGGGGGGGGGGGGGGGGTAGACCCCGAAAGGGCTTGGGCTTGGTTTGGGCGTGGCAACGAATTGGTGTATGTATGCGTTCCGAGTGGCGTGGTTTGTTGCTGCGGATGGCGTGGCAAAAAGCGGCCGGGTTGTACAACGTCGCGGGCTCTCTCTCTCTCTCTCTCTCGGCCTTTTGCTGAGCTGCTTGTGGTTCACCCAAGCACGGCTGTAGCCACGTCTGTGTCAAGCCTTGTGCACTCCCCCCCTCCCCGGTTGAACCTGGCTCTCTTGGGCAGAGGTGAAAGGGCCGTCGTTTCCCCTACAAGTAATCCTCTCCGTTATGTTGGTTGAGGCACGAGGATCCATGTCGTACTAGGCTAGAACCCCCCGCCCGCGAATTTTGAACGGCGGAAGAGGGTGCTTGTAGAGGCTTCAAAATCGGCAGCGGTGGCGGACGT